GACGCACGGCTGTCTTTAGAAGAGCATATGACGGCCATGGCCAGGGGGGCCTTTTATCAGGTTCGCCTGATTTGCCAGTTGCAGCCCTTTCTGGATCGGGACGCCTTGTGCACGGTCACTCACGCCCTTGTCACCTCCCGGCTGGACTATTGTAATGCTCTCTACATGGGGCTCCCCTTGAAGAGCACTCGGAGGCTCCAACTGGTCCAGAATGCGGCCGCGCGGGTGGTTATGGGTGCAACTCGTTGCGCCCACGTGACACCCCTCCTGCGCGAGCTGCACTGGCTCCCAGTGGTCTTCCGGGTGCGATGCAAGGTGTTGGTCACCACCTTTAAAGCGCTCCATGGCATAGGACCCGGGTACCTTCAAGACCGACTTCTGCCACCAATAGCCTCCCACCGACCAGTCCGCTCCCACAGAGAGGGTCTCCTCAGGGTGCCATCGGCCAAGTTATGTCGGCTGGCAACACCCAGGGGGAGGGCCTTCTCTGTGGGAGCCCCAGCCCTGTGGAATGAACTGCCCCCGGAAATACGTAAGATCTCCGACCTCCAGGTGTTTCGCTGCGCACTAAAGACCCTGTTGTTCCACCAGGCCGGGCTATTAACATAACAATTTTAAATTGGGGTATTTTAAATTTCTGGGATTTTAATTGGAGCCTAATTATTTAATGATTTTAAATTTTAATTGTTGTTTTGTTCTGTGTTTTTAATAGGCTGTACACCGCCCTGAGTCCTTCGGGAGAAGGGCGGTATAGAAATAAAATTATTATTATTATTATTACCTGTATAGTTTGATATAATTTGATCACTGCACTGGTTACTAGTTAGTTTCAGAGTCTAATTCAAATGGTTGGTATTAATCTTTCAAACATCACATAGGTGACCCTGTTGTGGGTAACTTATGTGGGAATGAACTTGAGATATGGGGGAATGAAAGGGCATAGCCTATAGGTGCATAATGGGCAGAGGAAGAGACCCACCCTAAATTCTCAGACTGTAAATGAGATTTGTACTTTTAGACATGAAAGATAGATGTCAGCCTTCTCAGGAAATCTACACAGGAGACACAACCAAATGAGCTAATTCTATTTTATTAATACAAACATGCAAATATACAAACTTCCAGATCTCCTTTATAGCCTGAACTAGAGGTAAGCTGTCATTTCAGGAGTTAATACTAGTCTGTGGAACAGTGTACTTGTTAAGATGACTCAAATAATAAGTCCCCAGTTTATTAACTTTGGGGAAGCTATGAAAACCATTATATTTGGTAAATATTTAGTTGATATATGTGCCTTTTTTACTAGATATTCTTTAAATATTTGGCTGATTATATTCTCTAAGTAATTATTGGTGGATTAGGTGGGGATTCTTTTAGCACATGGGTTTCATAATTATTATAAACCTTCTTGAGGATTGGAACTAAGTGGTATATAAATTGCTACATAAATCAATAAATTATAGTTTTATTCTTTTTAAATCAATATATTCGATAATGTTAACTTAAAACCATGATCCTTTAATATTTGAAATGCATTAAAATTGTTTTTTTTAAAAAGTTTGATAAAGAAGAAAACTAGAATGTCTCATGCTGTTTTACAATTATTCGGGAAATATGATATTTTAACCGTACTTTCCAGTTTTGAGTATGGATAAAGTGAAGTCTTTGGAAGAAAAAATACTGTACATAAATAATGTAATCATATCATAGTCTTCCTCAAACTTGGTATTTTCCAGGTCAGCTGAGATTTGAAAGACTAGATTCATCCTTGTTGTCTAGGAATTCTCAGCATGTCATTAATGCATCTGGAATACATCACATTGGAGAAAAGAAAAAGAAAATCTGGGACTTGGAATGTGTGTGACTATACCAGGCAATGTGATTCATTGATTATCTTCCAACCATACAATTCGTAAAATTCAACTAGGCATTGATATATTGGAACTTCAAAAATATATCCTCTCTTGGTAGCACTGGTCATCTCCTAATGTTTTAGACATTTCAGAATGAAAACAACATTGATATTGTTACTTTTTGTAACCTAAGCCTGAAAAATAAAAGAGATTTTGGCTTCATCCAGTATTCTGACAGCAGTGTTTCTCTTTTCAGTAAACTGATTGCATAAAAATATTCCATATTTATTTTCTCAAGACTTCAAAGTAGTCTGCTAAAAAAAAGAAAACCCTGGTAAAAAGTATTTATCAGTATGGAAATGAAATATATATAAAATTGATATATATGAAAATAATATAAATGAAATATTTTATATAGATCAGTATCAATTTATAAATCAAATAAAACATTGTAAACTTGTAAATAGGTTTTTAGCTATTGTGAGTTTTAAGTTGCTGTAAGGGCAACATTATAAGAACACAAATCGTAGATAAGAAATTAGATGTATTTATAGGTAACTCAAGTTTCTGGCTATTTAAAATAAGTACTGGAATGGATGAAATTAGAATGTTACATGCCTTGAAATTATGAAAAAGAAAATCCCAATTCCTGCATGATATAGGAATGTTTCAGAAAGAAGGAAAAGAGCAATGGTATTTTTCTTTTCTCTTTTTCCAAAATTACTTACATAGACAAAAACAATCATATTTGGAAGTGGCATTTGGTTACAAACCTGAGGTTTAAAACCCTACAGGATAATTTTTGGAGAACATGGGGATGAGAGAATCATCCATGAAGAGCATACACACAAATATATATTTTTTTTAATAACTGACAGGAACTACAACATTGCACTGTTGCAGGTAAAGGAAAATGTATTTCTAGGATTTTCTTCATTTGTAAGGATTAAAAAGATATAATGCTTGAATGCTACATCAAGACACCATTTAGCTTCTAAGAAATAGTTCAGTTAAATGGGACAGACAAGTGAGGAGAAGGAAGACAATTCTGTAATTCTCACTAGTGAAATAACACAAGGAATCTTTAATTATAATTCATGATTACCTTTCATTTTCCAGTAGTTATTGTCGTTGATTTGCTAACTGAGAGAAGATCAATAAAATAAAACTGTCTGTGACAAAATACTACAGTTTAATGATGAGGAAATATGATATCTCCATCTCCCTTAAGAAAAGCTTCTGAAACATTCCAAATAAAAAGGGCCTACTATATATTATTTTGACAGTTTGGAAAGAACCAAAGACTTCGATCCTTCATAAATGAAATGAAATTTGAAAGTAGAGAATTTATTCTTACTGGCATTACGTCTCATCCTTCCTTCATGGACCTTAGAACCCTGATCTTTTCTAATGGTATTTTAGATTTTATACTGGTCAGAAAGAGAATTCCAAAGTGACCTCCACCTGGATGCCTAACCTTGATGGATTTTCATTAGTTGAAACTGCCCAATTTTTCCATGTATTTACAGGTCAAGCCTGTGTATGTTAAACTAAAGATTTTCAAATTTAGCAACTTTAAGTAATCAGAGATGTGCCTCAGGACAAAGTTCCTAAGCAGAGAGTGATACAGGTCTAACCTATTATTGTGCATTAACAGTGCTACTAACACCTCCAGGGAAAATAAGATCCTCATTTTATCACACTTGCCATCTTTTACCTTTAATTTTGAATTTTTTAATTGTATTATCTATATCTATTGTAATTTCTTTGTTTGTTGTGAGCCATTCAGAGACATTAAGAATTGGGCAGCGTACAAGTTTAACAATGATTGTTGTTGTTGTTATCATTATCATTATTATATTTTATTCATTAAACATGAAACTCAGTCAACTGAACATTTAAATGTGTATCATTATTATTATTATTATTATTATTCCTATCTTTTTTTTAATTAAAAGCTGAATTCCAGGCAGTGAAACGGCATAATGGTTTCAACAAAACTTTGCTGCATGCAAAACAAGTGTTGGTAGCCATTCATAAGAATAACAGCTACCATACAGTTTGATATATATCTTTCTTCCATAAATACTATGCGGTTTCCTTTCCAGGAAAAATATCTAAAGCTTTGTTAAACTTGGGGGATCTCTAGTTCGCCAATCTTTTCGTCCTATTAAACATTTTTCTATTGTTTCTATAATCAACCTCATACTAATGGTAACAGAACATTGAGAGAATTGTAATGAAAGCATCTGGAAAAAAAACAACAGAAAGAAAGATAAATTCAGCAGTCACATTAATTCCCTCTGTGTTTCTAAGAACTTTGTAAATAAGTACAATCCTATTTAAAAAGCAAGCAAGCTAGAAGTAATTCATCAGCAATGTCACTGATGAAGCAATCTGACAATATAACCAGCAGTTATATTTTACGATAAATGTCCAAGTAATACCTTTGAACATCTTGGACATCTTTGTGCTCCATCTCTGCATTGGAGAATTAAAAAGTGGATTTCTAAGCTTTCATTTAAACCTGCTTATTATTATCCTCTACTGACGATTTTCCTGCATTCTAATTTTCAGTAAGCACTGAAGTCTCAGAGTACAAAAATCATAATTACATTTAAATTAAAAGGAGTCATTTTGCAAACATTATTTTTAACTTATAAAGCAATAGGATTACACTTACAGATGTGAAATGGAAGACATTAGAAAACAGTTGTCAAGATCCCTTGAAAAGAAAATGGAGCAACAAAGCAAACTCAGCATGATTCCTTTGAAGCCAATACTATACCCTTCTTTCAAATATAAAGCCTTCCAGAAGGGATTCTGTCAAACTCAATATTAAAAGTCATCACTTTAGCAATTGCCATCTATAGTCCTTCCACTTTATTTTATGCCAACACTAATGAGCTTAATACTAGCGGTGTCTCTTAAAATAAACAAGTTGGTCATGCCACTATAAGATCTCTGCTGAGGTAGATCAATGTATACAAATATATACAAAAGAGGAACTGAAGAAAATAAAGATAGTGTTGCTGAATACCCATTTCCATCAAAGCTAATTGATGCAAATAATATAACTAAACCAATTCAAAATCAACCAAATTATAGCGTAAATTATTAGATATCCAATAATAAAGGTGGTCATACCAGGAAAGGAGATGCTTTGCCTCAAGCCCATGCAGTCTAGTCCGGTAGGTGTGCTCTGGGAATAGAGGTGCAACTTGAGAGGAAGGGTATCAGTGGCCACTGGAGAAGTAACTGATTTTGTTTTAACCTACAGAAAAAAAGTAGTAACACGTTTACAAAAAGAGCTAACCTGAACTCAAAAAAGATTACTGTTTTTTTTTTTTAAGTCTTATATTCAATCCAAACAATCTGGATAAAAAAGAGTAAATGAAAATGCTAAAGGAGAGCAGGGAGTATTCTCTGAGGGAAAAGAACTTTGTAGATATCAGAAATGCTAGATAAGTCATTTGAAGAACTTTAAAAGGAAAAGAAGGCTCTTAAAATTACACGAGGGGGGAGAATAAATTAATATTGTGTGGTCCCTAGTGTTCTCCATGCAGTTGTTTAATATTTAATACTGCTTCTAATAAAGTTGCATTTATGTCATTTGTATTCTAAAATATAAATTATATTCTAAAATAGAAATACTTTTCAATCCACTCATCATAAGTATGTACATATGACACCATGCATCCTATATGAGACAAGAGAGGCGATAAAGAAGACCTATCTGTCAGGATAAATCTTTTCTTTTATGATTAGCCTCACAAAAGTGAACACAAAATTGCCATATTGTGTTAGAAACAAAGGAAGCAGAAGAACTAGTTAACAGAATTGTTGAAAGGGAAGAATGAGATGCAAACAGAGAGAACAGACAAATTATCTTTAGTTCCTTACATTGAGTTGATCTTCTGGGAAGTTACTTGATTCATTCTCTCTATCTGACTGGGCCTCTTTCACAAAGGTCCTTTTTCGGTTTCTCTCCATCCATGTATCATCAAAGCTGAAGCACTTGTATAGGGATTTGTGTCTCTTCTGCAGGACATGCTTTTTTATCTTTCCCTCCTGGATATAGAAGGGAAGGATCCAGGCCTTGTCCTCTACATTTGAATCCAAAGACCCTGGCATCTGAATAGACTTTTTTCGGTAAGGAAGACCATGCTTTTCACCTGACCTCTCTTCTGCTGAAATTTCACTTTGTTGGGAATGTTCCTATTTTACAAATAACAGGTGAAAATATCTTTAAAACATGTTTCTTTGTTGACCATTTTGGGCAGCTCACTGCAAGCGGTCATTACAAATCTGGAAAATCTTATTACATTTGTCCATTTTTAAAGTAACATCATTTATAACATGTCTTATAAATAAAGCCTTTATTGATTCAGTGTGGATGCTGCAATCTAAATGAAACCTGGATTTGTACTCACCTGTATTAACTTCATGTAAAGCCTGGATACATACTCATATAAGCACCAAGGAAAAATATTTCAGCATAGTGTAAATACCCTTGAACCGTTGCTCCAGGGCAGCACATGGCAGGGCTCACTTGCCATATTCTGTTTATGGTGCAGTCCCAGTTCAAATGCCCCTCCCACGTGCATTACTCATAGAATTACATAGAAAACTCTAAACAGCTATTTTAACTGTTAATCAAGTAAGCCAACCAATCTAGAAAGACAGGCATCAAAAGACTTTTGACCAAGAGTTCCTTAAAATTGATTCTGCTGCTAAGAATATACAATTAGCAAAGTTCAGTTAGCTATTTTCTTAAACATCCTTTGAATTCTCTATGTTGTTGGGCCTATAATAAGGAACACCTTGCAATATAAAACCTTGCCTCCAGAGGGCACAATAAAGTTATATTTAGCTGTGACAGTTCACTATCTTCCCTAATGATAACAAGATTTTTGTCTCTAAAGTTGTTTGGTACACTTAGATGCCTCTCTAATTTTGGAATGCTGCCTTCCCCTAAGAATTATGTCCCTTTTTCCTTTCTGTTATTTCAGCCAGAAATTAGATTTTACAGATGTAAATTCTACAAAAAGGAATTCAACAAACTTATACAGGGTCATTATAACTATGGATTTAGCACTGTTATGGAAGAATATTAGACTTGCGTTTAAATACTGGATTATCATTTCTGACAGATGCTATTCCTGTGCTACACAGAAGGTTAGTTTTAACTGGAAAAGAGAGCCAGCTGTACGTTGCTGGTTCGGTCATCATTGTTCTCACTGCTTCTGCTAATAAAGGATTGGCCATACTTTTCCTGGTTTTATTACTTTCTGGAAGCACCATTTTGCCTACTCTGTTCTGGGCTACAATTTATGGGCTACTTCTAAGTTTGTTGACCATGAGGACAGATGTGGACTCATTAACATTCCCTAGCAGCATTAGTTTAGGATAGAGCTGTTTTCCTATCAATTCACTCTTATTTCAACCTACAGTCTCCCTTGTGCCTGTAGCCTAATTGATATGTCATAACCTATAAGGCAGGCATCTTGACAGCTGGCTAAACACACCAAAAACTTCCTTACTCTCTGTGAGACCTGCTGCAGCACATATCGGAAAAAATGATTGGAGGCTACTTTCCTGCTTGGTAGAAGGGGCTGTAAAGTCAGAGACAGCTACCAAGTGCTTTCTTAAGTTTTCCTACATTTAAATAGAAAGAACTGCACTGGGCACCATTCTTATTACATTGGCAGAATAGGGCTCAGCCATCAGGACAGAACCATTTATGCCAGCATACCTTTCTGCCTCTCAAGAATTAATGGAGTAGTTTAATATTTGACCATCCCTTTGTCTTCTCTATAGGAGGGCAGATAATATGAATCTTCTCTGGATCCTGCAAAGTGTCTCCTGATCTGTATGCATGGTTGCAGCATAATTGCACAGATAATGTAGCCTCGTATAATACATCTTTACTGAAAGTTTTTTTTTTAAATAAACCTAACCCTTCATTAAAAGACAGTAACAGAGAAAATTACCATCATTGAATTTTAACCCAGGTATTTAAAATGAAAAACCTGCATTTGTCTAGAAATGAAAAGAAGCACTCTTTCAGCACCATTTTTCAAAGGTTACTTCTGAAAGCAAATCTATGACTACAATACCATATCCTCACATACTTATGAAACATGAAAACAAACTAGTTAGCGCTACATATTTTTTTCTGAACAGTCTTATACCCAGAATCTTACATTATTGTTTCATCTTATTTCCAAATTCTCTGAAAAATTTACACAAATGAATAGCTCTGATACATATGTCTTTGTGAGCAAGTTTCTAAAGTTATTTCAAAACATGAAATTTATAACGTTGAGCATGACATCCAGATTAACCCAGAATTCCACATAAGATACGTAACAAAAAAAATTTTTTACATCCTTCTCCATATACTCAGTGCCAATACACATAATTTCCAGCAGAGCAACTCACCTCATCTCTGATTATATCACTCATTGAAGTAGTAGTGTTTAAGCTGATCTGTGACTGACTGCTTATCCCACTGTCTTCTCTCAAATAGTCATTATCTAATGAGTGCATGGATTGCAAGATACTAGATCTGGGTTTCAATGTCTTTGGCCTCTCAGGTGCTTCCAAACCGCCATCAATAACAGAGATATTTCCAAGAGATATCAATGAAGTTGAACTTAATTTACCAGGATAATGGAAGCCCATGCGCTGATGAGCAGTTCGAGGACTCTGTGGCTTGGGACTCATAGGCCTGCATGGCATGTCTTTACGTTCATACATTGACAACTGGGGGCAAGAAGGAGTGAAATGGGGAAATGATGACTGCAGATCAATTGGAGTAATTGGAGATTTCAGCCAGAATTCTTCATAGGAGGTATTCCCATCATTCCCCATCATTTTCTCTTTCCCACTACAATCTGGGCTATAGGATGACTCTCTCCTCTTCCTCCTGGTGTCTATAGGTAGAAAATCAGCAGGCCCAAAGGAATAGGAATGCCCACCTCCTGTAGATGACCCATTAGAAACACTGTATTTAAAAAATTCTTGTCCATTTTGATACTCCTTTTTTTCCTTCAATGTTTTTCTACTAAAGTTTCCAGAGCTCCTATTTGAACAGGGATTTTGCTTCAGACTATCTGCCTCCTTGCTTTTTAGAAAAGCTTTCCAAGATTGGTGCGCTTTCACTTTTTCATTTTTTAATGAAATTTTTGGACTCTGTTGAGCATTTTCCTTTTCCAGAGTTTTAGATTCAAAAAAACTTGAAAAGGATCTATGGGCCAAGGCCAAACGGCTCCGGAATTTTTTGCTATCTATGCTTTTGTTACATTTAAAATCATTCTCTGGAGAGGATTTCCGGACATCAGGGTACTCAGTAAACTCATTATTGTTGTTCTCTACAAATCCTAAAGTTGTTCCTTCTCCACATTTTACCCTGGCTAACATGGGAGAAGAAGAATATGTGCCTGCACTTTCTAAGAGTGTGCGACCAGAGCTAGAAGCTTTTCTCAGACTAATTCTATTGAAAAGTCCAGCAGGTCTTTCATAGAATAAATCGTCGTCATCTGAATATTCTGCAAGGCACTGATCCTTGTTTTGCAAAGTAGAACTGGAAGAATTGAGGTCTTTCCAATTATCTTCTACTTCATCTACTTCATCTGCTTTATCACTATCAAATGTTACTTCCTTAGTTTTCATGTTATCTTGATTGTCAGGAGATGTTAGCTTAGGTTTCCTGAAGGATGCCATCTTGGGGAAAGCTAAAAATTTAGAATACTTAACAGACTTTTCTATGGCACCCACTTTGTTGATTCTCTGCACTGCCTTATAGAAACTATTGTTACTACCAAAAAAGCTAATTATATTATTGTCCATCTCTTCACAATTTGCACTTCCCATGCTGATATTATCTAGGCCACTGGTGCTATTATCTTGTGTGTCGATTTTCACTGAAGTGTCACAGATATCTGGATTCACATTCATGTCGTAGTTTTTACTAATGCACTTTGAATTTTCTGTTGAAAAAACTTTATCTGATTCTGATATATGAGAAACAGCAATTTCCTCATGTATTACATCACAAATTTTGGAGTCTTCTTCCCTATTAATTTGCTTAGCATTGATTTTATTTCCTTGAAGATGAGTCTCATCATTATCAACAATGTCTTGGCACAATATATTTATACTATTTATTTCCTGTATTCTTGCAATATTTACACAAGCATCCTGTTCTGCATTTGTAATCATAGATTCATCCATTGCTGTATAGCCACGAGTTTGAGATTCATGGTTTGTTATTTGTACTGTCTCTAAGACAGAATCACCATTCAACTGACATGGTTTTCTTAGTGATATGTCTCTATTTGCTTCAGGCAAGGCTAAGGACAAAATATCTATGCACCCCTCTTCTTTCCAGGTTTGCACAGTACTTTCTAAAAGTAAATTAGTTGTGGATGTATTGTTCACCAAACTAATTTCCGTAGATTTTGCAGAGACTGGCAAAGACAGTGAGTCCAGCATGTTTGCATCCGCTTCACAATGTGTGTTTCTTGAACTTTTCTCAGGAGCCATCTTAACCAGGAATTCATCTTCATTGTGTGGCAACACCTGCACAGAAAACATGTCATTTGTACAACTGGACTTTCCGTTTGGAGATTCTTCTGATTTTGTGGCATCCATGATGGTGATGAGATGAGAGTTGGAATTCTCATGCTCTAGTATCTCAGTAAATTTAGCCAAAGAGTTCTCAACTTCAACATTTGTTTGCAATAGTTCTTGACCAGGGGTTTCCATCAATAAAGCTTTTAACTCAGAAATATTATCTGATTTTTCTTTCTGGCACATATAATGTGGTATTAGTGCTACTTCAAAAGCAGTGACATCAACATCTTTACCATTACTGCAATTGCAAGCCTTCTTTTCTATATTATTGAGATGATTCAAAGGGTATCTTAATATATTGGATGTACTGGGTTCCTGTTCTCTAAAACCTTTTCCATTTGATGTCAGAATCTCAACTGCCTTTTCATGGCCTACATTTGGCCCACTTCTCACTTCAGATGCTCTAAGAAAAGCCTCAAGGTTTTGAGTTTTGATGCATTTGCTTTCCTTGTTCACGTCTACATTAATCATGGAAGCATGAACAACACAAGTATGGTCATATTTATTTGCCACATTGCATTTATCTATGTATCTTTCTGAGACATGAACATCACAGTTGTGAGATTCAGAACTAATGTGATTTGGAGACAACCCTTTAATTTCTATCTGATCCTTTGATTTCAGATGTTTTTTTAACACTACATTGTCATTTACATGTGTTGATATACATCCCATATTTGAAAATTTCTTCTTTTTAGAATTGTTTTCTGAGGAATTTGGCAGGTGGGATAATACCAAAGACTGACATTCAGATGTATCTGTTCCTTCTGTTGTAAGGCCACAGAGCTGGGATTTGTTGGTCCCATGGGAGTTTTCTGTTTGCTTCTGTATATTTTCATTTGAAATCAAGTGAGGAGTAAGAAAAAACCCTTTCATATTTGTGTCTTTTCCCACTTTTAAGGATTTTGAACAGTCTCTGTTTTCCTTAATATGAACATGATCTGGTTCTTTTAGGGACAATGTGGAACATGATTGGCTTAATTTATCTGCCAGACAAAGGCAATCATTGATATGTTCTCTAATATCTTGACCGTTTATATTTCCAGAACTATGCCATGATTTCATTGCCAAATTTCCTGACTTTATGGAAGGCACCAAAAATGTAGATTTAAAATCTGTGAGTTTCTGCTTTCTGCGATACAAATTTGTTTCTACATTTTTTTCATTGTCAAAAATATTCTTCTGACTATACTCAGTATTAAATATACAATCTTTTTTATACCTCATTTTGGAAGATTCATTATATCTTTTCCAACTTCCATTTGTTTCTAAATGAATATTAGGCAAACTATTTCTGGAAACTGTTTCTGAGCAGGAACAGCAAGTTTCAGAAAAATTCAAAGAACTTTCAGAGTTTGTTCTGAGATTAACCAATGTTACTGCTTCTGGGCTCATTCTCTCTTTTCTACTGGCACCTTTAATTTGACCCTCTGAATGGGTATAGAAGTGGGCCTCTCTGTTTGCAGATTTTGTCCCCACTTTTAACAAAGCTTCAGTCTGTAACACAAAATCATTTTTATTAGCCTTTGATCCTGTGGATGTAATACTGTAAGGTAATACCTGCTCCTTTCCTTTGACGTCTTCAATTTTGGATTCTGGTGCTAATAACTCCAAGGCATATTTGCTTGTTGCTACATGTAAGACTGAAGGGAATTCCACACTTTCCTTCTGAATAAATCCAAACTCTTTTGTGAAACACTTGGGAGGAGACCTATCTCCTTTTGTTTTGGAATACTTATGCCATGTTTCTTCTATTTCTGAAGAAAGATTGAGTTCTCTAGTGACATCACTGGCAATGGACTCAGAGTCTGACACACTTTCATAAGGCTCTGTCTTGATATCTGACAGTGATTCGCTTTGATGTGACTGGGTTTCAAAATAGTCTTCATCTGTTTCCTGGCCTGATCCACATATCTCCAGCTCTGGTGTATCTGTGATTGAAGAATTCTGGTCTTCTTCGATCTCTCCTTCACTTGTGCAGTTGTCAACCGGCTCTGAGGCCTATAAAAAGATGAGAAATTAATCAACAATAGTCTTGTATTAAGAAGATTAATTTATACCAGGTATGGTTCCCATTGCTTTCCCCAGAATTGCAACAGAAGAGAGAATTTGATACATCAAATGCAGTGTTGACTGAGAAATTTTCAGAGTTGACATTTAAATCTTTAAGTTGCTATGGTTGAGAAACAATGCTGTAATTCCCCATAAGAGCACATTGTACAATGCCATTGGTGGCATTTGTGGACATTTGTATTGTACAAAAGCTAAACCGCATCTTCCAAACAATTTTCAAAACTGCTTTAATATTTGGTGGATTTTTAATGGTCATTAGAATGCTTTGTAATCTATACAATTTACAAGTAGAGTGCTCTATGTGCTTTGGTTAGAGTAATTTTTCATATTTGAAGATAACGCATCCCCTTACCTTTCTTTTCAGCATTTATCTTTGTTACAGATTTTTTTTTATGATAGAAATTCTCTGTTACGTGGAAGGGAAATCTGCCCTGCCCCACCCCACTCGGTTGGTATTCAAACTGTACTGATAGTCAGTGCATACTAAATCAATTGAGATTAAATGTCATCTGTTCCAACTAAATAACAGTTCATTTCCCAAAAATGTGGATGTGTAAAGTTTAGTGGCTCCCTCTACTGGATAATTTTAAATATGTTTACATTTGTTAGCTTTTGCATTAAGCATTTTGTCAAAAGATTTAAAACTACATTTTATGTATGGTGTTTTTAACTTTGTATATGTGCTTGATGCTTTATTTAATATTAGAAATATATATAATTTGTTTGATATTTCATTCGAGATCATTTAACTATATGATAATTCATGACAAATAAATTAATAGAAATGGCCAGAACTACAGTAGTGGTCATTAATAAGTGGTGTTGTTTTTTTTGTCCTTGAAAAATATAGTCTTCTGTCAAGGATATATATTTTCCAATACTAGAATCAAGCAAAACATATTCACTCTGAATTTATATAACTTTCTTTTTTTAAAAAATATTTTATTGATTTTATTATATATACATAAAAATATAATGACAATTCTGTTTGACATTGGATATGCAGTGTTTATACATAATTACATGGAAAAAAAACTGGTGTCACTTATACTATATATTTCTAACTTGAGAATTTTTAACTTTCTTTTATTTCATCATTATGACCCAATTTTTAAACAACAAATTATGCTTAAAAATTATGGTTCAATTGTAGTTACATTATAAACCACCACCCCCTTCCTGGAAAATGAGGTTAAAAGCTAAGATCAAGATAACTCAGACAGAGGTTAAACAGCTGATGGAATTACAGAAGGTGTAAAGATTAAAGATAAGACTCAGCTACTGAAAGAAATATAAGAGCTTGACTCTATCTAAAGTTTACAGGAGGGGTCTCAAACTCAAGGCCCGCAGGCCGGATCCAGCCTGCGGGGTGCTTAGATCTGGACCATGGGGCCACCCTGGCACAGCAAAGAAGCAGCCCGCGGTGCCTCTGCCAGCAAAAACCAAGCTTGGGAGGGCCGTGCGCTGCCCTCCCAAGCTCCGTTTCAGCTGCAATGGCCTCCTGCAGCCCTCTGCCATGTGCGGTCCTCCCAAGCTCTGTTTTCACTGGTAGAGGGCTGCAGAAGGATTTCCCCAGCACTGTCTGGGCCACCACAGGTGCCCCGACATGTTGAGAACAGCTGTCGACATGTCGAGCTGGCCATGCCCACTCTGGCCACACCCCAAGGTCAAACACAACCCTGATGCAGCTCTCAATGAAATCGAGTTTGATACCCCTGCTCAAGAGACTGCTAAACAAAAACTCACAGCGGTGGCTACCAAGCTAAGGAGCTACACTAGAGAAGCAAAGGCAAAAGGATAGATGCTTGTTCTCTAAAGAGCCATCCAACTGAAAAGCAACAACAAAGTAACAGCAAAGCCCAGCAACAGAAGAAAGTGAACAGTATTGGAAGAACATATGGAAAAAACAGTCCACATAACACAGTTGCAAAGTGGCTGCAGGACTGGAGAACAGACCACTGAAATCTCCTAGAACAAGAAGCAGTCACCATCACAGTAGCAGACACCCAGCAGCAGTTTAAGAAGATGAAGAGCTGGACAGCACCTGACCCAGACATGATCCACACCTACAGGCTAAAGAATGGCTAGCAGCTTAGAGGAACCAGCTGCAAGCTTCCACCCAGACTAGCTAACACAAGGAAGAATAGTGCTGATCATGAAAGAGCCCTACAAGGAAACAGTACCATTCAACCAGCCAACAACCTGCTTCCCCACAACATGGAAAGTCCTATCAAGCATCACAGCAACCAAGCTAAAAGAACATATGGGCCACTACATGAGCACAGCTGAGAAGGGCATTGGGAATAACACCAGAGCCACAAAACACCAGTTGCTCATAGATAGAGCAGTTGTTCAAGACTCAAAGTCTAGACCAAACAATCTGAGCACAGCTAGATTGATGACAGGAAAGCCTATGACTCAATGCTACATACATAGATTTGTGCTTACCAGGCCCTACTCAAAGTCCATAGGATATTAAGGCCCTCCTTCAATGGGGTTATAGAAGACAACACTGGAAGTCAACTCAAGACAACTCACATAAGTAGCCATCAAGTATATACCAAACTGATACACTGTTACTGCTGATACTCTGCCTAGGCTTGAACACCCTCATCCAGATAATTCCAAGGATGGGATATGGGTACAAGTTCAGGAGTGGAACTTACCATTCAGCTACTTTTTCCATATGGATAACACCAAGCTGTATTCTAAGAATAAATGAGACATAACATTGCTGATCTACCTGACACGAATCTACAATTAGGACTTTAGGATGTCATTCAGACTGGAGAAGTGTAGCCAGATGACAGTCATCTGTCATCTGGCTACAGATAGAGAAGATAGTTATGATTGATTATGTAGACCAGTGATGGCGAACCTATGGCACGCGTGCCACAGGTGGCACACAAACCCCTCTGTGTGGGCACGCGCGCTGTTGCCAGCTGCTCTTCTGGTTTCCGGCATGTCAACCAGCTGGTCTTTGCGGGTGCTGGAGCACTGGAAAACGACCTGAAAACAGCCTGAAAATGCCCCCCAAAATGTTTTTGGGCCATTTTTTGGGCCATTTTCAGACCATTTTTGGGCTGTTTTTCTTGGCAGGTGCTGGAGTGGCCAGCTGGTCTTTGTGGGCACCGGAGCACTGAAAAACAGCCTGAAAATGGCCCCAAAACAGCCTGAAAATGGCTAAAAATGCCCAAAAAACAGGCATGCACACATCAGCCAACTGGTCTTCGGGTTTCCGGTGCTCCGGAGCATGCATGTGCATACATACATTGTGTTCCGGTTTGGGCACTTGGTGCCAAAAAGGTTTGCCATCACTGATGTAGACAATAGTAGGCAATACAGCAGACACAACACAGCAGATACAAATATTTTAGTATCCCATAGTCACATGGGAACCATAAGGAGGAGACAAGGAAAATAACAACATCCAAATATCAGCAAAGGATAAGGCAGATCATGAAGAGACAAATCAATGGGAAAACAAGATCTATGCCATCAACATGTTCTTAAACTGCCAGTAATCAGATACTTTGTCTGTGAAGTGAGCTGGCTAAAGAAGGACATAGAAGCTGCCAACGTGAAAATCTGAAGCTCCTCACAATATACAGAGGTTTCTACCCAAATGCAACATATAACTGAGGTGGCAGACATTTGAAAATCCTATCAGTGGCTGGAAAGGCCTGGATTAAAAGACAGCATTGAGACACTGATCATAGCAGCATAGGAACAGGCACTAAGCACCAGATCCATAGAAGCAGAAGTCTACCACACGAGACAGGAAGTAAGGTGTAGACTATGCAGAGGAGACAAACCAACACATAGAAGTAGGGTGTAAGATACAGGCAGGAACAGTATACACCGAATGGCACAACCTAAGTAGTTGACATTGTGTACAGGAAAATCTGCACAGTATATGAGCTAGACCATCCCAAGTCCGGATGGGAGATTCCGGATGGAAGGTCGTGTAGAATAACAGGACTGAGATCCTGTGACACTTCCAGATCCAGATAGACAGGCAACTACTAGCCAATCAATCTGACATAATGGTTGCAGATGAGGACCAGAAGACAAAGGTGGTGATAGATGTAGCAATGCCAAGTGACAGTAACAACAGGAAGGAAGAGCATGAAAAGCTGGAGAATACCTTATGCCGCCATACTTGAAATTTTGGGCTTAGACAACTTAGAACTTTGCCGTCTTTGGTAAGACCTAAGCATAGTACATAAAATTATCTGCTACAATGTCCTACCTGTCAGGTGAATACTTCAGCTTCAACAACAACAATACACAAGCACACAATAGATTCGAACTTATGGTAAACTGCTCCAAACTTGATTGCAGAAAATACGACTTCAGTAGCAGAGTTGTCAATGCCTAGAATGCACTACCTGACTCTGTGGTTTCTTCCCCAAACCCCCAAAACTTTAGCCTTAGACTGTCTACTGTCAACCACATCCCATTCCTAAGAGGTCTGTAAGGGGTCTGCATAAGCGCACCAGCATGCCTACCGTCCCTGTCCTAATGTTCCCTTTTATTCATATCCATTTCATGTATTCATAATCATGTTTATACTTATATCTGATATCTAATACATGCTTGATGAAAACAAACAAACAAACAAATAAATAAATAAATAAATAAATAAAGTAGTCCCAATGATAGTAGGAGCAAAGTGCTCCTAATAGTGGTAGGACTACTCAGGGCTATGACTCCTAAACTAGGAAAGTGGGTCCAATAGATCCCAAGAACAAAATCAGTAATCCCTGACCAGAATAGTACAGTATTAGGAACAGCTAAAATATTGTGCAGACCCTTAAACTCCCAGGTCTCTAGTAGAGGACCCAAGATTGAGGTACATACATACTAGGGGTGAGGAGTATTTTTTTTCCTTTTTAAATGTATTTCTGTATTAGATTTTTGTATTA